CACAAGTTTTTGTTGTGACGTAGATATTGTCAGTAAGTAAATAATTATGTTTAAATATAACTGTACTTTCCGTCCCGTCTTATTAATTATATAGAAAATTTCAAAGAGAAAAAGTATGTCAGCAGTTACCTAAGACCTATATTTGAAGAAAAAAATTTCAACTGGAATGAATAATGAAAGTAAATGGAGAATTTAATTGTGGTTCAATAATGGGATGGGGAATTAATGGAGATTGAGTCTACCATTGATGGCTGTGAGTGGGAGGGACTGTAAGTGACAATGGAGAGCATTATTAGCATATATTAATATTTTAATCTAACCAGAATTAAGTTGAAGCACTTAAGCACTTTGGAGGACTCTCATATAAAGCATGAGTTTTGTATTGACAGGTGTCCAGAGATGGTGATTTCAATCCATTACTCACTTTTCTTTCAGAAATTTATATACATATTATTTCTCTTCGAAAAGTCGTTTAAATAAACTGCAATTGAAGTGATTTAAGAGTTCAGATTGTTGCAATCTCAGCAATATTATTTTAATTGCTCTAATTTAACCGTTCTTCCAAATGGAGCCAAACTTTTGTTTTATTTAAGAAAAAAATAAAATAAAACTACTGGAATTGTGCATTTTGCAGATCCTAACTGTAAGAGACACTTTTAAGCCCGTACCATATTCAGACTAATTATCATTCAAACCGATCCGGTCTGACCCAATTAACAAACAAAGTGCTGACCAGATTAGTTTTTTCATACGAGAGATGGATTCGAACTCCCGACCTCTCTTAAATAAAACGGTGTATTTGGACGTAGGAAAGAAGGTGGGGGCAGAGAACAGAAGTGCCACAATCTTTGTGGTGGAAAACTGGAAAGATGGAGTTGTCACTTGCAAAACTCAATCTTGTGCAATTATAAGAGAGAAATGGATGAAACTGTGTCATGTGAGGGTGTTTGGTTTATGCTTATCCATACTGATCTGTAATGAAAAACATGTGTCACAGTTGCATAATCTTGAACAGAAGCTACCAATGTTTCTTCTTCATCATCTGACTCACATCTATGTTGATGTTCTAATGTTCTTTCAGAAAGCCAAACCTGAATAGTCAAAACTCAAAGTTCAATTCGATTCAAATAGGAAAAAACTCAATTTTTATTCTTTTAAGTGTTTCAAGAGTATAGCTAAGCTATGTTGCAAGAGAATCATGGTTATCACAAACTAAAAATACAAATCCTCATGACTGAACATGGCTTCTTCATTCAGAACTTTTGCCTCGAATGGAATTCTGAAATGCGAGATCTGGCAAGCAGAAGAAGAGCAAATTTTGCGAAAAGACTTGATGGGAAATGTCTGCTAAATCCCCCATTCTAAGCAGCAACTGCAACCTTTTCAGCAGGTTTAGCACCACTCTTTCCGGTTTTTAGAGATGGCATCACTTCCGGTTTCTCGATTCCTTGTATATCCGTTATCCTCAACTTTGTTAATTCCTAAAAAAGAAACAATATTTTGAAAACAAACCCCAAAGCAAATTTCTCGATTCCTTGTATATCCGACATCGGAGGAACAAAAGAGATACAAATAAAGCAACCAATGCATAACAAGTTACCAACCTGTCGATGCCCTCGTGTTCGTCGATAATTCTTCCGCCTTTTTTTCTTAAATATGAGCACTTTTGCATCCAATGCCTGAATGAAGAATGAAAAAGAAAAAATTGTTCAGGTGTGTGAGAGCCTTGGTATCTAGTTCTGCATCTATAGTTCTATACTGCTCGATTTCTCAGTACAAAACAGTTACAAATTCACAAAGCCAATATGCTCTAGGGGTGTAAATGAGCCGAACCGCTCGTGACTCGCGAGTCGCTCGTGAGCGGTTCGGTCAACGCTCGGCTCGAAATCGGTCAACATCGAGCTCGGCTCGAGCTCGAGCAGCTCGTGGATTAAACGAGCACGAGCCGAGCTTAGGTATTGTAGGCTCGCGGCTCGACGAGCCGCTCGCGAGCTTTATAATATATTATATAATATAATTAATATTATATTTAGTATATAAAAATAATAATTAGGGGAGGGAAATTAAAATACTTTAATAATTATGTATGGATAAAATTCATAAAACAAAGTAGTTTAAATTTTAAATCAAACAGGTCAAATTCGAGATCAAAATTGAGCTCAAATTCGAGCCTAAACTCGATCTCGAATTCGAGCCTAAACTCGTGCTCGAGTTCAAGCTCGAATTCGAGCTCGAGCAGCTCGACAATTGCCGAGCTTGAGTTCGAGCATCAGTTCACGAACTCGAGCTCGAGCAGTGATATCATTAACGAGCATGAGCATGAGCATACCCAGGCTCGGGCTCGGCTCGACTCGTTTACACCCATAATATGCTCGTTATTATAAGCAACATAAAATAGACTCCATATAAACGCCACATAAAATAAGTCCAGAACAAAACCCCAATCTGCAATTTCTCTTTCTTTTCTTAAGGAATTAACTAATATCACCTGATAGACACACATACAAATTGATATTTATAAGTTATATAACATGCAATCCCTAAAATAATTAGGAACAAAAAAACAACATAAAATAGGGTATAGGGAAAATCTATAGTGCTTTGAGGATTGAGCTGTATATCAGCAACATTTTCTACAATCTACTTAATTCAATGGCCTTAAAAACTTCAACATAAGGCAGTATTAGAGAACAAAAAGTTCATATAAAGATGAATTTGGGGCAAAGAATGAAAAAATCAAATTATCTTACATGCTCCTCCACAACAGCATGAACAGATACATCAGGTAATATAGGCCGGCCAATAATTGTCTGTGTCTGAGAGCCCAACATCATAACCTTGTTCAGGATCAACTGAAATCACATAGATGATAGATATGATCAATTTGTAATCATCATTTTGAATAAGAAAAGATTCCCTGCAGGGGGCCGGGTGGGGGTGGAACCAAGATGACAATTTACATGGACACGTATAAAATGCTACAAATTTCTCATACCACTCTATCAATGAGCAACTTCTACTTTCATTTCAAATTCTTCCTATGATGGTCATTCTATGAGATACGAAATAGAACAGGTTGAAAGTTTAAAGACTAACTTATGACATTGTTTTCCCTCTTTTATGTTTCTAGGAACGCTGGGAGGGACAGAAACTTCTTCCCTCAGGCAAGTTAAACAAAAAGCAAAGTTTCTAATGTTTCCTTCTATGTACATTTCAAATTCCACCTACTATGATCATTTTATGCTATAAGAACAAGAACAGGTTGAAACACTAACTTATACAGAGTAATCTTTTCTTCTTTTGGCCTGTTTGGTAACATAGTTAAGCTCATCAGCCCATTTTGGCTTATTTGACCACTATTAGTTGGTTGACTTGGTTAAACAATCAATATGAATGTTTGATAAAATTCAAAAAGCTGGCTTTTTGAGAAAGTCATTTTGCATGTAATCAGCTATCAACTAGGCAAACCCACTAACCCAATCAGCTAACAGCTATTTACCAAACACCCCCTTTATGTTTCTGGGACACACAGCACTTCTCTCCCCAGGCAAGTTAAACCACAAAATAAACTCTAAAAAAATTATTTGCACACACCAGTGACCAGTCAACTGAACGACACCTGACTAAAACAGGAAAAGAAAGTGGCTATAAAAATGTAGGACTGTAAAGATAATCTGAATGCCATTATATTAGTTAACATGACTAGGATATAACTTGTACTTAAGTTCTTACAGTCAAATGATGCACAAATTTGAGAAGCATCTATTCCATCAGAATGATCCTATCAATCTAAAAAAACAAAATATTTCCTTTACATTAAAGAAGTAAACAAAGAATAGTTACCCAATGCAATTGAATGATTGATAAAACTAATTATAACAAATATATATAGTTGATAGCTTAAAAGAAAATTCAAGAAAAATGTAGCTCACCTTATCATTGACATCACAATACTTCAATCTTTCCACAAAAATGCTATCCCCATTGCTCACTTTAAATTGGTGCGACCCAATCTAACATTACAAAACAGATAACCAAAGCAAAAAACTTTAATAATCCTCTGTCAACAAGCGCCCAAATATACAGAATGTGATGATAATTCAAACCTCAACAACAGCAAAAACGGGTTCATAAGGTTTGAACACCCGATCCGATCTCTCAAGTGGCCCGATCACCTTGTATCCAATCTCAGCTGCCTCTTTTATCTTATCCTCAGGACTCTTCGGCCCACTATTCGCTTCCTCCGCGTCCCCATCACTAAAATCGGCAATTTCTTCTTCGCTCTCATCACCAGATTCATCTTCACTCCCATCATTGTGCTTGGAACAGAAGTTCCGAGAGATAAACGGGTATTGGGTGTGTGATTTTGTTGAAATGTGGAGACAATCTTGGGAAAAGGTTAGATTTCTGAGGGAATCGAAGAACGCCGGGTTTAGAGCTTTCAGGGTTTTCAGAGACGTATTTGGAGAGAGAAGAAATGAAGAGTAGTGCCGGGTTAGGATCCGGAGGCAACGTCGAGTAGCCATTGTTGTCCAAGAGCCGAGCTTGAGTAAGGGTTTTGAAGATTTTAGGGTTTTACACTTTTACTGCTTCCCGGAGTGTAGAATGATATTTTCTTATTTACATTTAAACCACACAAGTTTTTGATAATATCATATAACCCCCTTTATGTTTTAAACATTCCACTTCAGGTCCTTATACAATTAATGTAACAAATACGGAGTACCAATTTTGGTCCCACGAATATAAGCAAAAAGACAATTTTAGTCCACATGTTTAATTCCTGTCAATTTTCATCCAGGACTATTATTTTTATTTTAGTATCAATTTTCATCCACAATTATTGTTTTAGTGCCAAAAATTTCATCACGTCAATCACCTCTTCCTTTTAAGAAATGCCTATGAAAGAGCAAATACCAATTTTAGTCACAGGAGTATTAATTAAATGACAGTTTTAGTCCTTGATCAAAGATATTGAAGCTCAATTACATAAACTACACTTTCCATCAAGATCTTTTGGACCTTTATAAATGGCTATATTTTTATGTACAATTGTGACCATGTGAAAGTTCAAGTACAGCCTCATTGATATGGTTCCATATATCATATACACACACATTTACAACAATGTATGGATTAACTATACTATCTAAGAGGCTCTAAGGATCAAGGAAAAATAAGCTTGTCTCAGTTCCTATTCTGGAGAATGGGAATGAAAGAATAAGAAGAAGAAGAAGAACAAGATGCCTAAATGAAGTTTTGATTAAGCCAGCATCGTTACTCTTGGCGATGTCTGGACCTCGGGTCTCCAATCCGCCTTGCCAGAAGCTTTGTAGTTGCACCGCTATACTTTGATGTCTTAAGAACTCCATCACGAATGGTGGCTCGGGGTGGAGGTGGAGGTGGGGGAGCCCGGTGTTCGAGAATATCTCGATGGTACCCCTGGATCATGGTGAACGAATACGAATTCAAGAACTGGAAACCGTACTGTCCAGAGTTCATGAATGAATGTGAAAGAAAGACTCACCTGAACAACAAAGTTGCGCCTTTCGCAATCCAGGAACATCTCCACATTCCAGTTTGTTCTCGATCTGATCTTGTCCCTCACGGTGGAGAAGCTAATCTGGTCCCTCGGGGTGAAACGGTCTACTTCATTGAACCAGAGGCAAGTGAAGAGGTTGGAAATGGGAATGTGCTCGCGTATAATCACACATCCCTCGGGCACATCTGCATGCCAACCAAATGTTGTGACAGAAATCGTGTCAAATATAAAATGGTTGTTATCACTTATCAGCCTCGAAAAGAAAATGGACGAGGATCGTGCACTAACCACTCGTGATTGGGAATTTAGCGGCAGAAAATGGCGTTAGGCCCTCCTTTTTGTAGAATTCAACCTGGAAATCGATGGAAGCATTGTCAAACTTCCCCGCTGCCTTATTAGCTTCTGCTTCCTCAAACACATCAAAGCGCTTATAGTGCCTTGATATTGCAAAACTGGCATTTCTTCTCCACAAGAACCTGAAATATATATATACACACCTCTTCAGATGAGGCACCTTTAAGCCAGTACCATACTCAGACTAATCTCTGTTCGCACCGGGCCAGTCCAATTAAGGAACAAAGTGCTGGCCAATGGCAATATTAGTTTTTTCCATACAAGAGGAGGTTTTGAATTCCCGAACTCTCTTAAAGGATGAGAGTGCAGGCCGGGCTACTCACGCCGACCAAAGTTGGTTGAATGCCCGAACTATATGATGATAAAATACAATTTTTTTGAATGAAATGTGTAAGTCTTAAATATACCTTTCAAGTATTTGATATGGATCCACAACTAGTTCGAGTTTTCCATCAATCCACAGAGAATAGCGGGCATTTGGGAATAACCTATGAAGTAGAAGCTTTGGAATCTGCAATAGCAAGAGGACGACAATAGCAATACGTACACCATGGCCATTTGAATGTACCATAACAACTTTTTAAATTACCTTCCCATTGCGCCTTGCATCAGTATAAGGTAGATCGTGAACGACGACAATTCTCCATAATCCAATTCTCGAGCTACTATTCAGGTCACCCGAATTTCTTAGGAATGCTTCCGTTCCCTCATCCACAAACATATAGAAGCACACATTTTCCCGAGCATACTCACTTATGTTCTTCGGTTGGTGTATTAGATCAAAGGCCCCTGATAAATAACGTGTCCATTTCACTAATAAAAGAGTAGATTAAAAGCGGAAATAGAAATTTTGTTGAGCTTAGAAAGGTCAGTACCAAATATTGCCGATGCAACCACTACACCTTCACAAGCTTCCATCTCACCGAGGTCCTTATCGTCAATGTCGAAACTTGTCGCACGTCCCGGTTTGACCCCTTTGACAAATCTATCATAGACAGGCAACAAAAGAGAAACGACTAAGGAGATTTGAAGAAGGGAATTGGAGACGAAGAATTACAAGGTTGGAATATCATACCCACAATGCACACTCATCGACTCTCGTATATCATAGGACTCATCCCTTTGCCTCAACGAGGGATATCCACCAAATCCCGAACCTCCAAACTCATTTTCACTTAAAGTTTCTTCATGTATATAGTTTAGATACAAAACAGGAGAAAAAGACGGTGCAGTTGGCATTAACGCAATAGCTTCTTCCACAGGAAGGTAACACACTGGGCATGCTGGGTAGAAAACAGGTAAATTAACTAACTTTTATATCTAAAGATCATTATAATTCAAACATATAACAAAAAACACAAATCAAAGTATCTCTCGACTTACGCCTTGGTCCAGTTCTCTTCTTATCTGCAGGCGGTGGAGGTAATGTGAAACCTTCACAAGGATTTCCGGGAGGAAGTGTGTATCCTGTAAAATACACACGAGGAAGAGGAGGAGGCTGATCTGTTGATGCAATTCCTCTGTTATTATTTGGTTTAGCCAACAAAGTTTTATGAATATTATTTTTTTCTTCGGGTTCTATAGAATATTCTCTATCTTTCATAGTAGCACTAATACTGATGGTAGGAATTTCAGGTCCTCGGGCATCTTCACCTACAAATGAATAAAAAGTTGCACATATTGTGAGAAATAGGAGAAAGTATGGAGAAGACGAGAAAGAAGACGGACAACTACATCTCCAAAGCATGGATGAAGGCATTGAGAGAATTCAAATGCAGAACCACAAGGTTACAAGTTCGACTCCCAACTGGAGTGACCTATTGGCCTTCTTGGTTTGAATCGGGAAACCTAGGCTAGTTTACCTCCTTGTGGTCCTTTGCTGGCTACAGGGCGGGGTTTACCCAGTGCACACTCTCGGGCTAACATGCAGAATCTTAATAACCAATACAGACACCATATTCAATAAAACTCGTAGAGACTCAGAATATAGATGAAGTCCCAACAGTTGATCTGATAGGAGCATCTACCAACCACTTATCAAAACAGTAAACATTAGAAACATTAGAAACCCCTATCTATCAATAAGCTCCTTGATCATTATTCTCAGTAACTTATAAGACTACAAAATTCAGTAGTTTCCCGATTTGGGGCATTACGTTCATGCGTTGAGTGCCTGCACTTGATACAAAACTGTGCTTCAAACATTATACCCCATAAACAATGGTAATCAAACAATTATGGTTCTTGATCAAAATATGTGAAAGCAGTGTGGATAATCGAAAATCTGGAGATAAAATCAAACATTATGCTGAGCAAATGAAAATGCCATTGAAAATATATAAGTAGCCTGACCTTTGCCTACATACAAGACCCAAACAAACACTGCAGCAGAAACAGCACACAAGAGCAGCAAGCCAACCTTCTTTCTAGCTGCAAATTTGAAGATCCTATGAAACCATCCTTCCTTCTCCTTAAATGTCTTCAGAGGTTTTCTTGGTGGGATTGGAAATGAAGAGCTTAGGAAATGGTGTTGCTGCAGAGATCCATAACTTCCAGAAGAACGAAGACCCAATGACCCTGTAGCCATTGTTGTTGTCTCAATCCTATCAATACACCTCTCATTCCCCTCCTCTCCAAACACACAAGAATTTCAAAAAAGTTCAATATTTATACTCATAGGCCCAATATAAGAGCAGACCCACCTCTCCAAATCATCTCTAAACTCAAAAGCAATCATCTTTTCACCAACTATGAGCTAATGAAGTATAAAAGTATACAAAAATTTGTACTGCAGTGTCCTAAAATACTGCAAAAATGCTGGGTTGTATCAAATACAAACACTTCTACCTAGGAAACTGCCAAATCAAAACCCCACTCTTCTGTAGTTCTGTTCAACCCCACAAATCCTTCGATTAAAACCGGGGGAACAATACAAATTTAGTCAGAAACCAAGACAATATGCTCACGGATCAATTAGCAGCAAGATAAATTTCACTGAAATTGAAATGGCTGGATAGTAACGTGTAGATTCCTAGGAATTTTGCTACACTGTGAACAATTCCCATCTCCGGTTTCATTTTATCGGTACATTTTCCGGTGGATTTAACAGTGAATTCACATTGTTTGCGTAAAAAAACGTACGGAGTAATAAATTCACTGGAAATTAGGTGCGTCCTGTGCGCGTGACGCTTGATGACTGTTATATTCTCATTGTCTGTAGCATTTTAAAGTGAGTTTTATTCGAAATGTATATTTAAATAGGGCAAATTATGCTCTGCAATCGTGTACACCACTGTTATATGTTCATAATTACTTAATTATATGTTCATAATTATAAAGTTATATATCTATAATTTTTAAATTTTATATTCATAATTATTGGACTCTATATCCACAATTATAGAATTCTATGTTCATAATTTTCGATGTTCATATTCTTAATTGTTGGACTCTGTATTCACAAATCACAGAACTATATGTTCATAATTTGATAACTATACAATACATATATTATGAATCTGCATTATAGAAATTATGAATTTACTATATAAAAATTATAAATCTACTATATTTAGATTATGAATCTACAGTATAAAAATTATGAATCTTGCATGATGCACACGGTTGCGCAGCATAACGTTCCTTAGCGACAAGTAGACAATTGTTTGGAAATTACTTTTCACCAATACTCTTGTATCCTCTTTTCCCAACAAAATTTAAAGCCATATAGTAAAACTGGGGAGTTCAAAAATAAAAAATATAAAAACATAAATGGAAGTATTAGTGGCATAGAGTGAATTTTTTAACATTATATTTCAACGTCTAATTGGATTTATCTATTATAGGCCATGATATGTTCGGAAATTTTGGTTGATTTAAATTACAATTAACTAATATTAGTAATGCATGCATGAATTGCGTACAAATTAGTACAGAATTAGAAATCTCGTAACGAAATTGGGGATGTTGGAAAGACAGTACAACAATTATTTGTATACCTAGTATTTAACATTTTCTGTTCTAGATTGCGTGAGAATGTGAAATGAATGGTGATTAAGGTATCGACGCAAAGGAGTTTTCAGTTTTTAGATTAAGAGATTAATTAACAATCTTAAACTCGTGCTTAGGACATAATCCAAATGTAGGTTAACAATCATTTTCCAGAATTATCAATGTTAACGAAATTGACCCATTACATTTTTTTTTTTTTTTAATTTGATCTAAAGGAGGGTCAAGCCCGGTACTTTACAACAGACATCCTTTCGAGATAGTTCTCACACGGCAAAGCACTCGAGTCGACCAATAACGTATCCTCGACGCTGGTGTTGGAGTTGGAGTTGCGTGTTTAATTTGTTTTGCCAGAATATCTGCCACTATATTATATTTCTAATAGATGTGTTTGAACAAAATTACATACCCAGTATCTCAGTATTCTCGCTTTCAACTTTTATACTTTTTAATGATATATCACATAGGGCATTTAGGGAAAGGGCAAAATACAATGCCCATCCACCCAAGGAAGTGTTCATGTTCAATGAATTAATAATTCATTGTCAATTGGGATGGCACATCAGTGGAAACTGGTAAAGGTATTTACACAATGACATTTCACCTTAAATAATCATATTTGGTGTGTAATTTAAAAAAAATTAAACTAATTAAAAAGTTCTCTTTCAGCGTGCTCTGACAATGATGCCATGACCTTTTAAGTTTATGATAACTTTGTGAAACAGATCCGACTAAAAATGTATTGACAATAATCAAACTCGTAAGTTTATGTACGAGAATTATGTTATATCTATTCAGGTATTTGATCACCCCTTTTAAGGTCGGGTCATTAATTTTTTGAATCAAATAAATTTGTTGCAACCAAAACATATTTCAAGGAAATTTCCTAACAAATAAAGCAACATTAATTACGATTATTTCTTTTCTTTATTTGAGAAGGATTTTAGAAAAAGAAGTTGACAAAGACACAGAACAATATATCTAAAACAATAACACTCACAAAATCATTAAAGCTAATAATTATTCGCGTGTAAGTTTGGTTAGCGGCAAAAAATATACATCCATGTACATAAAAATAATCTTATAACTTTATAAGTTCATAAAAAATTCGGACACATAATCTTATAACATAATACTACAAGTTACTTAAATATGTTATTAAACTTTGAAAGAATGACCAGGGATCGAGTTTCACCAGCGGCAGTGTGGGAGCAACCTCTCAAAATGAGGAGGGTTCCTTGTGCGCAGTGAACACGGTCTAGCCTCTGTGGTTCATGTTCAGTTGAGTTACCATGATTTACATCCTCTCAAATGCTCTGTCAGGTCGGGGTGTAGGGGTCCTTAGGGTTGGGGTTCAGCCTTTGGAAGAATGTTATTATTTCTTTTTTACAAATAAATTTAATATGTATAAAAATATATTGTTGTAATATACAATTATACATTGTAAACGACAATTATATTGTATATTCAATTCTGGTCCATATTGATTAGATTGAGGCTCGAGGCCTCACTTGCCATCAACCACTCCATAAAATCCATTGGACTTGTGAGTCCAATTACACTTAATTAGGTCTGAAGTTAAATATCTAGATATTTAGCATTTTGATTTGGGCCATGTTGCATTGGATGTTGAGAATTTACCCATTCATACCACATTTTGTGGGTGGAGCATGATCTACGTAAATCATGAATAAATGTATATTTTTTATGTATTGAATAATGAATATACATCATTTGTGTATTAAAAGTACATTATTTAGTAGTATATTAATTGAGTAATGTACATTCAAAAAATGAATTTTAGTGTATTAAAAAGTTCATTTAATATAATAAAAATGTACTGTATGTCAATGGTTAACCTGGTTTATATATAGTATAATAATGATTGACATTTTGGTATCCTTACCATCTACGACTAATTTGAAATCAATTCGAGTCACACTTGTCGAGTTTGACTCTTATTCAAATATATATATATATATATATATATATATATATATATATATATATATATATATATATATATATATATATCCGAAAATCCGCTTACTAACTACCATAAGCAATGGTTTATAACGTGGACCTTTGATAAGTTTTTATTTTTAATATATTGTATGTTCATTTTTAATGTACGATAAGTGCATTTTAATTTACAATATATTAAAAAAGAATGCACAATAATATACTAAAAATGAATCTTATCAAAATATGATGAGTATATTTTTTTCATAATGTTACATTTTTTTTTTGTATTATTGACTTTATTACAATATAATATATGTCTATATATACTTTCTCAACCTATTGAAGCACAAAGAGTCAATAGTCCAACTAAAGTTCAAACCTGTAAGGCTGTAACCTTATTTGGGAGAGTCATATATAGTTATGCTAAGCTAGTTGCTTGACCACAAGTATATTAAAGTAAAATTGCACTATACTATAAATAAATATATGTATTAATATCCACATTGAGATTATGAGTTGCACAATATAATTTGCTTTACCCTAAGCTGATAGGTAGCTAGGTTGAGATTTACCAAATTTAGTTAGTTTAAAATGCAACTCATACCAGCCATCAAGCAATCTTTTAACAACGTGTTTAGAAAAGTGATTGGAATCATTCATAGTGTTCGTTTGAATAAACTATGGTTAAACTCTTAAAGGGAAAAAATGTTTCAATGTCAATTTTTTTAATATATTAGGTTTCTCAGTTTAGTGGCGGGAGTAGTTATTGGATGAAGTAAATCGTAAATCGTCAAATAACCTCTTTCGTTAATTAACGACTTAATTCTGCACACAAAGGATCAATTTCTACATTTCCGTGAAGTTGAAGAACTCAATCTTCAAGTGATAGGATCCACTAGAGGTAGGAAGGAGTGGATCATAAATTTACTTATAAACAAATATATATGTAGCTAGCTATAACATAATAATCAATATAATTCATCCATGTTCACACGACCGCCACCGCCGTGCGGTGCAAAGTGGGCAAATTGTCGAGCAAGTCAACGGTGAGCATCGACGCCGTAGGCCGGGGTGCTCGGCCACTGTATCCGGCGGACTCCGGCGGCGGCGCGGTGATGGTGCGGTGGCACGTTCTGAGCCACTTGGCTTGCATGTACTTTTGCTTTCTCCAAGGACCCAGGTGCATTTTCCTCTCCTTCATGCACCTCTTCGCCGCCGTGCACATGATCTTGATCACCGACAATAGCCTCTCTATTTTTCCGACGAAAACTTCCGGCAGGCTCGTGACCAGTCGCCCGTACTCTTCATTTGATCTCGCCATCTCAAACTCCCCTCGAAAATTTAGTTCGATTATGATCCTCACTTCTCCCCTTTTGGGATTATTTGAATTCTCCATCACGTCTACAAATGTGTGTTCACCTACATACAATAATATACACATTATATTCCATGTTATAATTATATTAATATATATAGATACAAATTAATTTATTGACCAGTTGAGTTGTGCCTGATGCGTGTATATATATATGACTCTATTAGACTAGATATCGAGCACATAGAGTCAATAGGTACTGAGATTTGAACTTGTGACCTTCTATATTTGGAAGAGCCACAGTTATACCACTTGACCTTGTATTAAGTATTATTAGTACCAACGGCTTTAATAATATCTGATACAACAAAATATAGTGCATTTGTATACTCAATATCATCAGTATAGTAGATTTTTCCTCCCATTATTTAATAGTCTCTACAAAATGATTAAATAATGAACAAAATAAAATTGTCATGAAATTTGGAGCAGGCAAAGGTAGGTGTAAAGGCAGTCATAGTTCATAATGGAACAAACTTTATTAGGTAAATTATCCATCATATCATGAACATTATTATTATTTGCTAATATATTTTCCAGCTCTGAAAAAATATCTGCATTAAAAATATTATATTTTATAAGGTATAGTTTTGCACTAAGACAGGCAGACACAAAGAAAACAAAAGTTTTAGTGCTAATCCCTAAAAAGTTAAAAGCGACTAATAGATAAAGAAACAGTAAACAGGAAAATAAATAAATAAATACCTGATGGGATATCTGATAGGTTCTTCCACTTAGACTTGCAAATTGCTGAGTTGAAACCAGCATTTTGTAGACGCCGGAAAACCTCATTCATTCGGCAGCTCCGGCAGCCGCCGTCCACCGGTTTCTGACAAGCACACATGTTTCCGGCTTGCTTTGCTTCTTTTAATGTTTCTTTAGTAATACTCCGGATTCTTGATTCTGCCGAGGTGGTCCTGCATAACGTAGCCTGCAACATATATCACAATTAATTAGAACAACTGATAGAGGCCCGTATGGTAATATTGTTAGCTTATAAGTTAATTTTTACTTGTCTGATTACTATGTTTGTAGCAGTTTATTGTTGAGAAAGTTAAAATTTAAAAAATTGTTCAAAATAATTTTTTCAATCAATTTTTAGAAAAAATCATTTCACATGTAATCAGTTATCAGCTAATCTATCTAATATCTCTTTACAATCTGCTCTATCAACTAGTAATCTCATTAATCTAATCAACTAGCAGCTATTTACCAAACACGTACTCCAAAATAAAAAAAATAAAAAAGAAAAAAAAAGAAATTCAATCAAATTGATCATGATCGATCAGTTTTGAACAACTTTATTACAAAACTAGATTTACTGATCCATAATGACTGCAGATTTTTTCTCGTGACTCGAAAAAAAAAATCAAGAAAGACAAATCATATGATAGTGTAGCAACTAACTTACATGTAAGAGATTGTATTGATTTTCCCAGAAATCACTCTCTTGAACGATTTCTTTTTCTTCGTTTTCATCATCTTCATCACGTACATTATCGCAGATGGAGTACTGGGACGACGACGACGACCGTTCACCTTCATCGTCGAGAAACTCGAAGACGGTATCGGACAAATTAATGGCCGGGTCGCCGGAAAAGTCGATGTCCGTTTTGTCACACCTCAAAATCCGATGATTCATCGGAATTTTAGCCACTTTTCCGACCATGGCCGAATGTATTATTTAATGTTGTCGACTTAGGTCTATAACAAGCTAGGTTTGCGTTTTGAAGCGATCTTAGGGCAACAAGGGTTTATATACCACCACCCACAGTGTTGGGAATTGTGGGCCCACGATCCTACGTGGACAAACAGAGTCTCATGCACATGTGCGTGGGGCCCGATACCCACGTGGCATGTGATCATTTGCTGATGTTAAATGATAGTCTGGGGTGTGGACCACACAGCGAGGATCCACGTATGCAAATAGAACTTTGTGGATATACTCGAATATTCTAATATTCATTTTTCATTTTTTTTCAATTATTTAACTATTTTTCTTGACACCGTATTCAATGCCCTTATATGATCATCTCGTGACTAAAGGGGCCCAGATTAAAACGTGGCGCAATCGCAGTCGTCGATCGCGATACTTATCCGATAACGTGGGCCCAACATAAATGATTTTTGGATCGGTGGCACCCAACATAAGCGGCGTCTCGCCCATGGGATTGGGCAAGTGTTTGGATAAAGGGGAAAAGTTGTAAAGAAATATAATTGTCATTCTTTATTAATTTTTTTAAATGTTATTAACTCTGTTACATTGTAATATCTGTTTAAATATACATTTTTTAACTTAATGAAGTATAAAGAGTCAACAACACATCCATTGAGGCTCGATCATTCTTTATTAATTAATTACTTTAAAATAAAATTATTTATTTTTATGGAATCTTTTCTACTGTTGAGCTGGACATACAAAATAGTAACATAATCATTATTAATTTGTAATGTGTAATTTAAATGTAATTCTTTTTTTTGAAAGGTAATTTAAATGTAATTCTAGTTAACAATTGTTACAAAAACAAGTGCAGTGTTTAATGGTTGGATTTAACACATTAAATGTCTATTTTAGATTTTAGAATTTAGCACATTACATGTTATTAGTGAATTATTATCTGAGTTAATAAAAATTGATGATGTATTGGTTGGGCGTCAGTCGGGTTGGCCAAGTTCAGCTCCTACTCGATTCGAGACGTGGCGTTATGACTTATTATGGAGGGATGTGGTTAAATGATTAATGTCTATGTATTTATTATCACCAATTGATTTTAATAGGATATGACAACCAAGATAACCAAAGAATTATGTGGTTGAGTGTGTTTGAGTTACAATAATCACATGATAAATGACTCACTTGAAAATAAGCATAGTGCAATGCTAAGTCCATCAATATTTAATAAAAAATAATATAGTGGAGCAATTATTTGGGAAGAAGTGGTGGGTCAACGTTTGAACAAGATTGGATGGAGAGATAAAAACAATGGAATTATTGAAGTGGAACAACATTGAAAAGATGCCTCAGCTCGGTGACGACTCACTCGGTCATTTTCTCTCTTGTCGCCATTTCTCTGTTTCCTTTTGGGTGAAATTTGTCCTTTTACATATATATTGGAGTTGGAATAACATTTCTAGTTTGACAAAAAGAACAAAATGAAGCATGGAAATAGCTCAATTGGCCAATTAATTTAAAATAAGTTTATAAATTTTTCTTTGTTAGTAAGTGTGTGGGCCGTGGTGCATGAGTTTTACTTATTGTAAGGTGTATTTTGGCCTTTTTAGTTATTTGTGAAATAATAATTTTGGTTATTTTTGTTAATATTTAATTATATTTGAAAATTTTAAACAAAAATTAATGGTATATATATATATATATATATATATATATATATATATATATATATATATATATATATATATATGTCAAGTTTTCGTGCACATTCTGTGCGGCTATGCGGTACATATAAATGCACCATAAAGTGTTCAAAAATGCACTATTAAGTGCAGTTCATTTTTATGTGTAGGAGTTCATTCTCAAAATGGTTCTTTGACTATGATCTTTTTTCAAATTGGTTCCTTAAATTTTGATTTCTCTAAAGTGGTTATCTGACTTTTGAATTTTAAGCCAAAATAGTCCTCCGTTAGCTTTGGCGTTAAGTTGGTGTTAAAATTAAGGGTAAATTTTGAAATTTAGGTTTTGCACTCCAATTTAAAGCAATCAGTGATTCCTTTCGGCAGTCTGCGTACAGCCGTACATATTTCTTTAAATTAGGTTTTTGCTCTCCTAAATCTGCAATCAAAATGTAGGATAATCAACTAGAAGGCCAAGAAAGTTCACATTCAACTTCATCCACAAACTTCCCAAGGCCGAGATTTCATGCCTTCTAATTGATTATCCCACATTTTGATTACAGATTTAGGAGAGCAAAAACCTAATTTGAAGAAATATGTGCGCAAATTGCTAAAAGGAATAACATATTGCTTTAAATTGGAGTGCAAAACCTAAATTTTCAATTTTACCCTTCATTTTAACACCAACTTAACATCAATGCTAATGGAGGACCATTTTGGCTTGAAATTCAAAAGTCGGATGACCACTTTAGATAAATTAAAAGTTAAGGGACCAATTTGAGAAAAGGTCATAGTGGGAGGGATATTTTGGAAATTAACTCTTATGTGTAGGGTGCATTAAGTTTACATTAATGTCATGTTTATTGTCAAATATTAGTTACTCACCTCTAAATAGGAGGAAAACACCTTTCTTATTTCTCGATTGTATTTTATACATCCTCTTTTCACTAACATACTCTCAAGATATTTTATTTTATTAACTTAAAAGTTAAAAGTGTTCGACATATTGTTTGATTTGACATACACTTTAAACTAATGTTGCTAGCAAAATGGTCGTTTTAATGTTTCGAGCAATCGTGCATTTCAGGAGAAAGCAAATATATTTTAAAGAAAATTAAACGTTTTCCAACTGGACCTCCAAAGTATTTTTGCTAATTATATTGCTAAATGGTGTCAAATCATGTATTTATTCAATCCAGTTCTCAAGTATTGCATTACTTTTTAAAAGTATTTCACACATGTTTTGTGCAACCTAAAATGGCACTAAAAAAGCTGGAGTAACTATTAAGGGATTAGTTTCAAAATTAATATCTCCATCATATCACTCATTCTTCTATTTTCATATTCTTTCAAACATTTTATCATCTATTATAAATGATACTTTTAACATTCATTATTTCATAAGATTGAAGTATTTGACATAAAGATGGCAATATGATAAGAGCACTTTTTTTTTTTTTTTTTTTTTTTGAAAGGAAAAGGTAGATTAAAACATTAAATGATCAAATGTTGAATATTTAAAATCATATTAAAAGTAACTTTTTATGGAATAATCTTTAAAAGTATCATTTTATTACTATATATATTTTGAAACAGAGATTTAAATTACCTATGTTTGAAAAAAAAATTGATTGGAGACAACTTTTGTTTAAGATGATTATATTGTTTAGTTCGATATATGTTTTCATCTAATATGTGTTTTGCTTATTGCTTAATGCCTGATCTGAGTTAGAGGTGGCCAAACCTCGAGTCCAGACTTCCTTTATGAAAGTTTGAGGTTGACTCTATTAAGGTAAGATCAGTCCATGATCCTGGGTCGCCTTTGAATAACTAGACCTATAGGATAAACTCACTATATGGTGGTTATTATAAATCGGATATAAAAAATTTTAATTTATACCTTATTAGCTTTAGACTAGTCTAAAGTTAATTCGATATTGATCGAATCAATCTATGATCACCTCTATTAGATTGAGTTATGTATGAGCAATTTACCAAAGTAAGGGCAATATTGAGAACCTCATTTTCATTTATTGGAGACCCCACAACATTAAACCTACTCCACTATATATATATATATCCACACACCCAAAAAAGCCCTCAAAAACTTAGTGGAGTTAGCAAATTCAATAATTCTCCCATGCATACTATACACTTCTCCCCAACCTACCAAAATTAAATAAATTGAGCTTTACAGGGAGGGTGGAACATGATTCTCATATTAAAATATTATTATTTTAATTATTACTAATATTCTTTTAATCGAGTTCGTCACATAAAATCTTTCTTGTATGATTTACTTTTTATTGTGTGTGTGTAGTTTAGTACTATTGCAAAGGAACGAGGGTTACTCACTACATATTATCAATTAATGGCTAAAAAAGTATAGTGTGGTATATATATATATGTCAAATGACGACGACATATACATGGTTGTGGACACTACGTTGTCATTGTCATATTAAGTGATGAATGAATGTAATGATTTAGGAGTTAGATCCAAATCCCCTTCAGATATTAAAGATACACAGTCGAAGAAAAAACATAGTACGTGGATGATAGAAACCTGAAACCAACTCAGAAACAGATAGGGAACAGATCCAATTATTACCATGAAGAAGCTAGCAAGATCCAGATTGATTTATTATATTATATTGTTATATATTCTATTATAGTTTGGTCGATCTGCTCTACAGATATGAATGGATAAGGATTATATTAGACCCTGGAATCACCAGCCTATTCCTTGTAGATACAAGTCTCAATACATTGTAGATAATTAATGCACGTAGAAATTAAATGAAAAAAATATTATTATAATTAAAAACAAAAATAATATATGATCTCCTTGACGATATATACGTATTATTGGCAAAGACAAATTGAAAGGTATAATAGACCTTGTTTGAAATATGACTGTTAGCCGTTAGCTGATTAGATAATTAAAATGTATAATTATAAGTTGATAACATTAATTGATTGTAGAAAGGTGTTTGGTAAATTAGCTGTTAGTTGATAGCTGTTTAATATAATTTTTTTTTTTCAAAAAATTAATTGAAAAGTTGTTTTGAATAACTTTTTAAATTTTAACATTTTGAAGTTACTTTTTTAATCAAATTAAACAATTATTAGTAGTTATATGAATTAAAATTAACAAATAGACTAATATTTTACCAAACAGGCCATAATATATAGTTTGGGTATTGACCGATCTTTCTGGAAATGATTGTGCTTAGAGGAGGATAAAGAATAAAGTTTAGACAAGATAATATAATGTGGATATGTTTAGGTATATGTTTTGTCATGTCTCATTATTTATGGAAGATATCGAAAAGTGTGTTGGGATTATTTGAATGAGAAATCAGGGCCAGGCCAGAT